TATATATATATATGTATATGTATGCAGGTACATATATATATATATAAGGAGGCCTTAAAGTAACAGTATATGGTAAGCCTTGAAGCATAGAAGGCCTGGACTTCTTTTACGTCTCAACAGGGCTCTTGGGTTTTCGGGTACTGAGTTCTGGCGCGACAGACTCTGAGGTCACTGCCGCTGCTCCCAAGGCCAAAACGGTGTCCCCGACCTCGGCGGCTGCCGTGATGCAGGTACTGATGTGGGGTTTCGGGCTCATCTATAAGGCTTCTATAGGGGTACTACAAGGGTTCTATGAGCGCTACTATAGGGGTCATTAGTTTTAGGATTGGTGTGCTGAGGGGCTCTGGTTTGCAGAAGTGGCTGACGACCCTCTGTCAGGCTTAGCATCGAAATTCTACACTGGCCATCGACATCTACACCTTACTCCTGAGATACGTCCACAAGTTGGCAAGCACAGAGCTCCTGCCATCCTGAAGCCGCTACATTCCTCGAAAATCGCCGTCATAGGAGGTCCTGGGCTTGTGGGGGACGCTGTACCTTCTGACCTGAAAAAGCAGCTGAAGGCTTTCAGGGAGATTTTAAGATCCGGTGCTTCCTAAGCCAGGAAGGCATCAAGCCGGCAACAGCCGCAGAGCGAATGAAAGCTACTGGCTCTGTCCTTGCGCGAGGACAGGCATTCCCAGTGTAATGGAGTTGACGGTTTGGATGCTTTGAAGGACTCATCTGTTCAGTTGTCAGCTCGTGCGTACATTCCGAGCAGCCAGCAGTCAGACTTGTGACTCGTTTGTTTAAACAGGCTGATTCTGATAGTAGGTACTGCTAGCATAATCAGGGCAGCAACGGACCACGATCGTAGTAAATAACGTCGGCTGCAAGAAAAGGGTCAGGATATTAACTATTTAGTAAAGATCATATCTTCGGTTTTCAGAGGTATCCTTTCCATGCCGCTAACGATAAGATCCGATGAATTGGAACTGGACGAGCAGGAGTCAGAACAAACAACAATAAGACTTCTCGCAAGACATGTCAGCGTTTGTGGAAGTCCTGCAAGTCTCGTACCAGGAATCGCTCCAGTGATAGGCCAAAATCCTTGCCAGTCTCGTGCAGAACCTTTCAAAGCCTTGACAAGACTTGGAAACGCCGTCAAAAGCTTGGCGGTGATTCCAGGACTGGGTGCCACAGCCGAGGCGCCAAAGGCGCCTGGGCTCCTGGGTGTCGCATTGGGAACTTGAGGGTTGAGAGCTGGTGGTTCTCGGGTTTTGTTTTGAGGCTTTGGCTGCGTGGGGCGTTCGGATTGTTGGCTTTCTCCGGCCTTCGACCTCCGGGAGGCCAAGGCAAAGCCGGCCGCGGCCGTGCCGACCACCTCCAAGTACGCCGGCTCCGCGACCATGACCCAGGCCGCCCCCACCAGCGCCTCTTGGCCGGCAGTTGTGGGAGTTGCTGAGACGCATGGGGATTTGGGGTGTGCTCCCATGCAGCTTAGGCACTTTGCGACACGGAGTGCCCTGACTCAGGTGCTGAACATCGTCAGCGGCAAGCCGGTCGCTGCGGGCGAGGTCGCCAGCAGCGCGCATACCACCAGCTCCGTTGGCCCGGCCAGGGGCTACGCCAAGGCCTGGACGGAGCTTTGTCTCGTAGGGGCTGGGGTTCAGACTTTTTGCCTGAGGCGGCCGGTGCCGTTCTGCCCACCAGCACCACAGGCGCAGCGTATGCAAAGATAGGACAACTGTGCTTCTCTTTGTTGCCGCTCGGATCTTTACGAGAGCCAAGAGTGAAGAGGTGCCGACGGCAAAGCATTGGATGTGCCAAAGGCCCGGTCCTTGCATCCGAGGCTGCATGTGCCCTTAGGGGTCGTGACGTATTGGTTCTGATTGCTGTCGGACGTTCTACTGTGCTGCAGATCGGGCCACCTGCCGTGGCGGTTGGGCGCGCCATGGCTGAGGTTTCGGTTGGCTTTTGCAGATCTCGCCACGTAGAAACTCACACTTCCTATTTGACATCGTCCATGCATCAGGGACGCCCCGCAGTGTCTATGGCTGGTGGCAAGTTGGTCACCACCATCAGCAAGAAGTTCCAGCACCTTGGCGAACGTGCCTAGGCGTACATGTCGCATGTCAGCAGAAAGCCTGTCAGGATCGTCTTCGTGACCAGCGAAGTGGCACCGTTCTCGAAGACTGGAGGCGCTCCTTCCGCGGTGCCCTCGGGCCACATCTTCTGAAATCCTGCGTGCTTTCAGGCCTCGGTGAGGCCATGGACGGCCTGCCCATTGCGCTCGCGGCCTTGGGCCACCGCTGCATGGTCATCTCTCCCCGCTCCTCGGCCTAGAAAGCATGATCCCACGTCTCAGGCTGTGTACCGCAAGCGCTGTAAGGCTACGACCAGTACAAGGAGGCCTGGGACACGGGCTACTGGGGCTCCGTGCCCATGGGCGGCAAGAACGAGTCCGTGCACTTCTTCCACACCTACAAGCAGAAGGCCCCTGCCTCTTTCCATCCCAGCCCCAGCAGCACAGCATGGCACGCTTGTGCCTGCAGGTCGACTACGTCTTCGTCGATCACCCCACCTTCCTGGAGCGCGTCAACGGGCTGACAGGCCCAGGGGAAGTGGGGAGTTTGCACCCGCGCATCACGGTCCCAACAAGAATCGAAGCGGTGAAGCAAGCCTCAGCTGCCGGCATCTTCAATCTTTGCATGTATACTCCCCATGTACTAATACTATAACAAACCCGACAACCCATTCTAATGATCAAGGACCATATGTTGCTAAACCCAAAAGTACTCCAACAAGTGACACTTATGTTCCCCTTTTGACCCCCGGAACGAGATTAAGGCCTGTATAGTAGCCCATTCTCGACGGTGTCCCTGCACTTCCTCAGGTGCCAAGCTCTACGGCCCGGAGTGGGGTCAGGACAGCTCCCGTCGATCCCCGAAGCTTAGGGTTTGGGGCTTGGGGCTGAAGGGATTGCTGACCCCGATACTTTAAAAGCCCTAAAAACCCCTGAACTCGGAAGCTATACCCTACACTTCTAAGTTCGGAGAGCCCTAAACCCGACTGCATAAAACCCTAGATCCTGAAACCCTCCACCTTACAGTCTGAACCTTAAACCCCCTAAACCCGAAACGCCTGAAACCAAATGCCGAAGTCTGGGCCTCCTTCCGGCCTCGCTAAAACCGAAGCTTTGAATAGGCCCCGAAGCCACTGTAGCGGTTTAGGGTTTAGGGTTTGCTCCATAGCCCTCAGCCCCAAAGCTCTATAGCAAAAGAAGATATATGCAACCCAACGACGGATCTGCGGTTTTCGTCCTCGTGAAGCCTAAGCCATCAAAGACGTGCAAATTTACCCGTAGGTGCCCGAGACCCGAGTACCTATAAACCCGAATCGTAAAAGCTTGAAAGGACTTCGCAGACAATCAGGCTCGCTTCGCCTACTTCTGCAAGGCCCGCCGACGCAGTTTCGACCGCATTCCGAAAGCCTGCGTCGGCAAGCCTCTAAAGCTCACCCAGCAACTCTGCAGCCCTGAGGGTTCAGGGTTTCCGCGTCTTAAAAACAAAACTTCAGGGCGCCGTAGGCATTTAGCATCCAGCGGTCTCGACGACAGGGGTTTGGGTTTGGGGCTCTTCGGCCCACACGTGAGGCGCGGGATCACTTTTTCGAAGGTGGCCCGCGGACGTTTGCAACCCAGAATAAAAAAAGGCTTGGGGCTTTTGGTTGTGGTTGCGGGTTTCAGGTTTCAGGGATCAGCTTCCCGGGCACCCTGAACGTCTGCGAAGAGTAAAACTGAAAACGCGGCTCGGGGTTCCCTGCTCGCTCAACCGAGAAGAGAACTAAAACACGTTTGGGAGCTCTGATTGTGGTTGCGGGTTTCAGGTTTCAGGGATCAGCTTCCCCGGCACCCTGAACGTCTGCGAAGAGTAATTAAAACTGAAAACGCGGCTCGGGGTTCCCTGCTCGCTCAACCGAGAAGAGAACTAAAGCACGTTTGGGAGCTCTGAGCCCTTATCGTCACTCTTCTCCAGAACCCTTTAAAAAGGATCCTTCTCTTTCATATCACGGCCCCTGGATTGGAGCCTACCCGAACCTCCCTAAACCCTAAACCCTAAACCCTAAAGCCCTAAACCCGAAAACCCTAAACCCTGAACCCTAAAGCCCAAAACCCCAAACCCGAAAACCCTATACCCTAGACCCTAGACCCTAAACCCTAAGCCCTAAACCCTAAACCCTAAATCCCTAAACTCCCTAAAGCCCTGAACCCTAAACCCTAAACTCCTGAAGAACCCTGAACCCGATGAGAATCCCGCAAGAGGCCGCCTTGAAGGCCATTCAGGAGCTTCCCCTGGGCGGCGCCGTGCCCGGGCCCCGGCCGGAGCCGTGCGGGACCTATGCGGGTTTATAGGGTTTTGGGGTTTCAGGGTTTTAGGGTTGTAGGGTTTTAGGGTTTTAGGGTTTTAGAGTTCAGGGTTTCAGGGTTTAGGGTTTAGGGTTTGACGGTTTGGGGTTTTAGGGTTTTAGGGTTTTGGGTTTTTAGGGTTGGGGGCCTTTCGAGGCCGCAAAGCTGAGGGTTCGAGGCTTTCGGGTTTTGCGTCTTTTCAGGTTTAGGGCTCCATTTGGGTTTACCGTGGAGGGTTTAGGGTTAGGTAGGGCTTGGTGGCTCCAGGTATGGCGGCGACTGCATGGTCGTCTGCAACGACTGGCACTCAGCGCTGGTGCCCATGCTTATCCACGCGGAGAAGCCCACAGGCTCACGGACGGGGGTGCTTGAGAGTGTATGCCCAAAACACCCAAGAGTAAAACATGCCTTACACCTCAAACCCTGCGCCTAAAACCCTTACTTGCTTGCAGAAGTCGGTTCCAACAACTAAAACGCAGGAGAATTGCTTCTACATGCCAGGGAGAACTCGCACCTCCCTAGGGTTCAAAGCGATAGCCTTTGTTCCATTAACGTTCTGGCTACATACGCTGCATCATCGCTGCATTCCGCAGCAAAGCTCACCTTCAATGGGTAAAGCCCTGTGAGCCCTCTTCCCCACGAGCTTTTACAGCATGTAAACCCTAAATCCTAAACCCCTTTAACCGTAAACCCTAAGCCCCAGGCAAGTGGACCAACACGAAGTCCGCTTTCCTCTGCCACAACGCCGTCTTCCAGGGCCGCTTCGTGCGCGAGGAAGGCCCGAAACGGCTGGTTTTGCTAAGGTTTCCGGGGTTTTGGAAGGGGTAAGCTCATGGCTTTGCAGTTTAGGGTTCAAAATCTTTGGGGATTTAGAAGTTTAGGGTTAGTTGGGATCCTACCCTGTGTTGTTTCAGTGTAGTATGCTGTAATAGTATAGTCTATAATCTACACTGTAGCAATATGATATAATAATAGTAACAGTAATAATATGCTATACTAATATACTTTCATAATATATTAAGAACATGGTTTCATAGTAGAGTGTGATTCGTTGGGCTCTACTGATTCGAAGCTTCTGTGTTTCAGGGCTTTTGTCGGCAGTTTTGGTTGAGGTCGGGGCATATTGGTTCACGCAGACATGAGATCGGAAATCGAGTCCTACCCTAGCAGTCAGTAATAGAAGTCAAGCCTCCCCAGCCTGCTAGACTCCTCGACCCTAAACGCAAAGTCCTATAACTCCTGGAAGCCTGCGTCCGCAACACCGCAAACAGGCCTCGCCAGCGTCTTCGGCGTGCCCGAGCGCTACATCGACAGCATCACCTTCAAAATGCCTCTGCGCATCGGCAAGTACAACGAGAAGGCCAGGGGGTGAGGGAGGGCTTTTGAACATATTGGTCTTGGAGTCTTGGGGGAGGGCTTGGGGGATTTGGATGTGTAGCATGAGTGCAGATGCCCTGTTGTCCTACTGGCCACAGATGACCTGCATCAACACCATGGCTGCGGGTCTGCGTTACGCCGATCGCGTCTGCATCTCAGTCAAAGGGCCTCGCTAAACCTAAGCCTATAGAGAAGCTAAGCAAAGGCTACGGGTCCTGTTGTCAAGGTGACGTACTCTGTTGGGGTTGCAAAAAAGGGCCATTTAGTTTGGGAGAACCACCCATATTTGCAATCACAAGCAAGCAAGACAATGGTCCCAGCTAAGCAGGAGTTTGGCAGCAGACAACTTCTTGCACATCTTGTGAAGTGCGTTGCATGAGTTACAGCGGAACTGTAAGCCAGGCCTCATGCATAGCTGGAAACCATAAATACCAGCCCGTCCGGAAGCGGTGAATACGTAGATGGACAGACAGATCGACAGGCAGTTCGATAGATCTAGGACCAACCGAGACTCTGAATGCTAGAATGCGATATTGTTGGCCTTGCCGACAAGCCTACTGCTTTGATTGGGCAGAGAACAATCCTAAATCCTATACCCCGCGGTTTAGGAAGTTCTTGTGAAGGCCCTGACCGTGTCTCCCAGCTATGCCGTG